TTGCGCTCCAGCACAAGTCACCTTGAGGGGAGGGGGTGTGCCCTCTCCCCCCCCCATATGAACATGCCTGCCTTATTCGAATCATTCCAGATTCGAGCCCTCAGATATGTTCGTGCCCCGACATGGGTCACCTTGGGGGAGGGGTATGTGGGTGGGGGAGCGTGCCCCCCCCCCCCCCTTCCTCACATGAACATGGCTCCTTTTTCATATCATGCAAGAATCAAGCTCTCTCATTTTCTTATGTGAAGGAAGGTTAAAAGTCATTCAAACCTTCGTCGTTAGACATGCTTATGCTCTTGCCTCCGACATGAACATAGCTCACCTGGGGGATGGGGGTGTAGGGGAATGGGCGTCATGACCCTTGGCATAGGTCACATGGGCGGAGGGGGTGTGGGGGGCCGGGGTTCGTGGCTCCCTCCCCCATACATCAGATCATTCCAGATTCGAGCCCTCAAACCTGTTCGTGCCACGACATGGGTCACCCGAGGAGAGGGGGTATGCCCCCCCCTTTCCCCCACGCATGAATATGCCTCCCTTTTTTAAATCATTCTTAGATTCTAAGCATTTCAATTGAATTTTGTCAATTTTGAATCCAGAATCACGCCTTCTCACCTTCTTATTTGAAGCAAACTTGATAGCCATGTTCAAGCCTTTGCAATTAAACATGCTTATACTCTTGCCTCCAACATGAATATAGCTCGCCTGGGAAAAAAGGTTGTGGGGGAGAGGGGGCGTGCACCCCCCCCCCCTACATGAACATGCCTGCCTTGGGCACATCATTCCAGACTTGAGCCCTCTCGCTTTGTTATCCAGCGAAAAATTGATAGCTTTCTTGTTCTAAACGTTTCAATTCCGCCGGATCTCTGCATGGTTAAAGAAACGATGAAATAGATATCAGACATCGAACATTGCTATACCCGCATCATAGAAGACACAAGACACAACAACTTGAGATGCACTAAAAGAAAGATGCATACACACAAGTTATTTTATGTGATGCTACCCATATTACCATGCCTGCCTTGTTTGTATCATTCCACAAAGTGTTCAATTTTCTGGTGACAAATGTTATGTTCACCATCAAAGAAATGCGTGGTTGGTAAGCCTGCTTTATGTTGCAGTTCAATTCATGTATGTGCTATCATGTTTCCCATGTATGACCCGTGCCACATCAAGCCTTCTACATTAGACACACTTCTGCCCTTGCCTTCGACATGAACATACATGGCCTTGCGGGAGGGGGGGCGTGCCCTTCCACCCCCACATTCCTTGGCATGAACATAACAAGCGGCGAATGCTCATCTGTCAGGAAGCACATGAACATGCCTCGCTTTGCCACGCAACAGACTGCTGAACATGACTCACCTGGGGGGAGGTCCCCCCTCCCCCACACATGAACATCCCTTGCGCGTTCAGAGCAAAGGCCTCTTTTTGCGTGGTCTCAAAAACTGTTGCTCACAAAAGCGAAAACAAATGAACATGCTATTCACACGCGGGCTTGCCTACAGATAATTGTCTACCGCGTGGGCACGGGGAACGCAGCCCTAAGGTAGCCAAATTAATGAGACTAAGAGCTCGCAAGAGAGAGAGAGAGAGAGAGAGAGAGAGAGAGAGAGAGTTTTGTTTCATTTGTTGTTATGAGTGTGAGAGAGAGA